GGTACCTAATCATGTAAATGAATTTCTAGGATTGCTTAGCATCTCAAAGCAAGATCCAGCATTAAGATTGACATTAACCTTAGAACCTGCTTATTTATTTAATGCACTCATTTCACATTCTAGCAAGGTTATGCTCAAAATCCTACAAGGAAGGCTTCAGCAGTATGTGGACTTAGAATTCCCAGAAATACAAGCTGGATTTCAAAAGGGCTGAAGAGACCAAATTGCTAACATCCACTGGATTATGGAGAAAGCCAGAGAGTTCCAGAAAAACATCTACTTCTGATTCATTGACTGTGCAAAAGCCTTTGACTGTGTGGACCACAGGAAACTATGGCAAGTTCTTAAAGAAATGGGAGTGCCTGACCACCTTATCTATCTACCGAGAAATCTATATGTGGGACAGGATGCAACAGTTAGAACTGGATATGGAACAGCCAATTAATTCAAAATTGGGAAAGGGGTACGACAAGGCTGTATATTGTCTCCCTGCTTATTTAACTTACATGCAGAATACATCATGTGAAAGGCAGGACTGGATGAATCCCAAATCGGAGTTAGGATTTTCGGGAGAAATATCAACAATCTCAGATATGCAGATGATACCACTCTGATGGCAGAAAGTGAGGAGGAATTAAAGAACCTCTTAATGAGGGTGAAAGAGAAGAGTGCAAAAACTGGCCTTAAGCTCAACATCAAAAAAACTAAGATCATGACAACTGGTCCCATCATCTCCTGGTAAATAGAAGGGGAAGATATGGAGGCAAGTGACGATTTTACTTTCTTGGGCTCCATGATCACTGCAGATGGTGACAGCCGCCATGAAATTAAAAGACGCCTGCTTCTTGGGAGGAAAGTGATGTCAAACCTAGACAGCATCTTAAAAAGCAGAGACATTGCTTGCTGACAAAAGTCTGCATAGTCAAAGCTATGGTTTTTCCAGTAGCAATGTATGGAAGTGCGAGCTAGACCATAAAAAAGGCTGACCACCAAAGAATTGATGCTTTTGAATTGTGGTGCTGGAGGAGACTCTTGAGCATCCCCTGGACTGCAAGGAGGTCAAACGTATCCATTTAAACGAAATCAACACTGAGTGCTCACTGGAAGGACAGATCCTGAAGCTGAGGTTCCAATACTTTGGCCATTTCATGAGAAGACTCCTTGGAAAAGACCCTGATGTTGGGAAAGTGTGAAGGCAAGAGGAGAAGGGGACAACAGAGGGCGAGATGGTTGGACAGTGTCATCAAAGCTATCAACATGAATTTGACCAAACTCCAAAGAGGCAGTGGAAGACAGGAGGGCCTGATGTGCTCTGGTCCATGGGGTCACGAAGGGTTGGACATGACTTAA